ATATATATATAAATATGTGCTTACCATTGAAGTAGAGGTACGCAATATTTACATGCCAAAAAGGTGTGCTAATAATATTTATTATTACTGTCGAATGTGTTTATTATTTCACAAGCACAACCCTACTGTTTAGATATCGCAGCGTATAAGGTAGGCACTATCGCCACCTATGCTTACATTGATATAATCTGCCAAAAACACTCAGAGATATTCTGGCGCATAGCTTCTTATCGATCATTTCTTGGGCATACGCAGTATACGTTTCCATCTTAGTGGTGTATTTTGATCACACTACAAAGATATTGTCTTTCACAAAAGTCACTGCAGTAAGATCTGGCGATCACGGAGGGTCCTTTCCTACCTTTTGTCGGCCTATCCAGCTGTAAACCTACTTTCTGCCAGGCATATGTGCCTTCAGCAGTTAGACAGGCCAGACAAACCAAAAAATATAACGATACCTATTTATTTAACTAAAATGTTAGAACGTGTAACCCTTACAGGAGTGTCACCTTTTTAACATACCTATTGTACTTCGTGTTTATCGTTTTTACTGCATCCTTTATTTTCAAGATTGCCTTCAGTTACTTCGTAATCAATGGACGAAAAAATGAGGTATACATTATTGAATCATGTTAATATGCCAGTAGCTGGGAGGTTTGTTACTCGGTCTTGCATATACCATCCGCCCATATGCCCATCCATCCACTAAAACACTGAAGGCAGCACAAATTAGCCTAGTGTTGAGCAACATCTATTCCACCGCTCTCCCAGTAGCCCTGGTGAAGGAGATATCTAAACTCTAGACAAGAAACGCTGACACAAAATGTTTCTGACTTCAGCAAGTGCTCACAGGAAAATGATCCTGATGCTCATTCACTTTATTTAACTGCATCCGGAGTACAAATTCAAAGACGAGACTTTTAAGAAGCTTTCGAGAAAAGATGGTTTTTCTTTATCGGAGTTTACAAGTACTTAATCGGCAACGCGGATTAAGGAATTATAAAAAACAACGCCGACGCCGACGCCGGCACCGTCCAGAAGGTGGCTACAATAGCCACTCGGAGCATAAAAATTTTTCACAGTAAAACTTAAGATAGGCAGTAGAACTTTTGCCTCTATCTGTCAAGGCAAAGCAGCAAAAGTTTGAAATTCCGAGGCCAGCAGGACCAGCTAGAAGTACGCGCACGCAGGCCACACGAGTTGGACAACGGTATGTTTCATCAACAGGTACATTTTTTAGAGCAGCGTGCGAGACGCAACGGAACAAAGAAGATGGGCTCAATGAAACTAAGAAACAAGCACAAAGGACACTGCGCGATGCCGAAGGACACCTCTCACGATCTCATAAGCTAGGCAATAATTCTGACTCCAACAGAATGGGGGAAATCCTTGCATACGTGAAAAACAGGCAGATTAGCCGACTACGCGGCCGTTACAGATATTTTCACTTTTGTGCGGCTAAAATTTGAAAATCTATAGCTCTGGTTATATTACGTTTCAACTGGCATCGATCTCCTGATTTTCACAGAGATCTGACCTCAAGCTTGCGGATCTTCATAGTATGAAGTGTGCTTGTGACGTAATCCCCTAGATAACGATGTACAGTAATTCCGTAGGCATACTAAAACAATGTTTTATTGCATAATAAAAGCGTTAGGTGACTTCCTGAAAGCGACATAACTCGCGTGTTGGTTTATATTTATGCTTTACGCGTCAACTTCCAATCATCATTAAAAATGACGTTAAGAGACGCTGCGCTTGCTAAGTTAGCTCGGACAGGTATGCCTAAAAATCTTCTAGTCTTCCTTAGGAACTTATTGCGGATGCGTGAAGTAACCATCGAATCATAGCTTTTGATCCCTTCGAAAAACCGTAGACGCTTCTCTGTGCTAATTGGCGAGGTATCACTGCGGATTTGCTTCGTTTTAGTAAACGTTATTCAGTATGTATTTTTTTTACTGCGTCATATGAATCTCTATGCTTCAATAAGGAACAGACTGATCACGGTGACGCGCCACTATTTATCAAAAAACATAACGCTTGGCTTAAAGAAGACAGACGTGCATCAATGATTTACTTGCGATCACGAATTGAAAATGGGCGCTGTTGAGCTGTAATTTTATTGGGCAGATGCAGTGACCAACTTCGCCTGGAAAAAGAGTAAGACATATCGTGACTTACCTAATTCACTGATTCTAGCATATTATCTACCAGCCACTCATGTATCGTGTCTACGAATAAGGCTACCACTGCCGATGGAGCCTTTGTCTATCAGCGCACTCGATCAGTGAATTATAGATGCAGAACATACCATACTATTTAAGTATCACGCTTATGGTTTTGAGCACATTTTATCGTTTTAGGTATTATTATAGATACAGTCTATCATAAACAATAACTATTAACTTGAACTTTTCAAGTGCCTAATCTAAATTCTTAAGATACTCTTATTCCGCCTTCGTAATGCCTACCAAAACATAACTTGAGGTACTTTTGCTTGAGGTACCTTTAATATAAGATTCTAAAAATACCCACAGTTTGACGTACTGGGATCATATCGGAGTAGGCGATTTCTCATAGGACCATTGCAGCTTCCCTGCAGGTATGTGAAGCTGCAATGAAGGTGATATACTTTACTTAAAGCATCCATAGTGATGTCTATATTTAAGCTTACATGCATAAGAAAAATGCAACATACATAGTTCGGACCAGTAGTTGACGGAAACGTTGTATGCTTACTACCCAAAAGGCTCATTGTTGACTGCTTTTCCAGCCTTTTAAAAAAGCCAATTACTTGCAAGACTGTAACCAGCATAGCTTATCGATTAGAATATAATTGACACTAAGCAACCTTGCGTCTTATCGACTTCTCTTTCGAAATCAAAGAAACCTACCTAGAAGAAGTGATTTAGATAAACTATAGAAAGCACTTGATACTATGTCATCATGACACCCATAAGAGGATACGATATCTGCAACTGACGAATTTAACGGCCCCCTTGGCGATCCGAACTCGCTGTGCTGCAAAAACTGAGTTTACGACGTTTAGGTAGAACCGTGTTCTATCTAAACGTGTGACATAGAGCCAATATCCAGAGCTGCCCACACTAATCCAACGTCGTTTAATTTGACGTCAATCTCAACCTTCGACGCGGTGTTAGTTCCGATAGATGACCTGGCGCCCGACGGGTAGTTGACTTGGAAGTACCTGCGAGCTCCGCAGTAGTAACACGACGTTAGCGCCGTCCACGAGCCGATCGTTTTCGTCATCTTAGCATATAACAGCATAAATCAAAGCGTCATATGAGGTCGGTTGGAAGTAACTAATGAAATCTTCGAAGAACTATGCTTTTGCTCTCAGACATTCGAAAAGCTTCTCAAGAAGGCCGTTCCCGTCAAGGGAACAGGTTTCGCTCAATTTTTATTTTAATACATGCCAGTTACTCGCCCCGGAGACGACCTCCAGGGCGTATCACACCTAAGCAACGGCGAGTAAATACTGTTGCATCCGCCGCAAGATTTGCCCCTGGGGCCATCGCTAGTCCGTTGCAGAAGATTCTAATCACTTGGTCTACTATCCAAGCTGAAGACACCTGCCCTTTCAGTTTGTTAGAAACTACAAAAAAAACGGCAAACCGGAATCCAGTCTCTCGTCTTTTGCAATTCCACGATTGCCGCTGAAATAAGGCAAACCAGCCCAGCCGTGTAGTCGGCCCGCAGGGCCGAATGCCCGCTTGTTTAGCGTTTATATAGTCGTCGACGTATATATTCAACCTATATTACAGTAATCGATTCATTCTAATATATATACAAACCGTAGAATTTATCCTTTGGGTATCATGATCATGCGCCCATAAGCATACCTGGAAAAACTTGTATTCTACCTAGGTAATTCGTAAAGAAGAGTAGTCGTTTAGTAGAAGACTGGACGAGATGGTAACTTTATGAAATGTTCATCTGTCAGCAACCATTTCCCATCTGAAAAACTCCTTAAGCTAAACGTAAAGTATTTTCAAAACAAGAAACGATAGGAGGATGCAGCTGTTTCGCTATGCTCTGCTCCGTGACCATAACTGTGCTACGCCAAGGACTTAATTACTGGGGATTATTGTCACCAAGCAGAGAGTAAGAATGTTGTAACAATTACCGAAGTGTCGATTTAAATAGGAATAAGAGACTTAGTGTAAAGATACACACGAAGACGTACCAAGTGTACGTCTTCGTGTGTATTTATAAATATAGGCAATCACGCTCTTATTTATATTATATAGTTATATGGGACTGGATGCTGCTGTGTTTATCTTGAACATCAGTTATGCGTGTCATTTTTTGGGCGTTAGTTATTCCTCATGAAGTTGGAGATGACCAGATGTAGTTACGATTATAAGTAATCATTAATTTTTTTTTATCGACATAAAGGTTTTCATACCTGCTCCTAATAAATAGGCCCCATAATTACATAGTGGGCACTTCAATCGATGACGTCATCAAAATTTGTACTCTACCGTGACGGTTACAACAATGCAGTTATAAATGCAGTCAATCTAAGCGTAAATGGACGTTTTCGGCTAGAAGCTGATCAACTCGATTTCGCTTAGAGGAAGAAGTCTACGGAGTAACCTATTCTTCGTTACCTGTCGCGCATGTGTGTTGTCTTCCGCAGCGATACACACGTAACACCTGCTTATTCATCCTGTCACTCAGTTCTGCTGGCATTTTTATTTTCACCCAGTATAATCACGTGGTGACTTGTTGCTTAAGCAGGTGACCGAGCTTTCTCGACCTACAAGCAGCTTTCGTATGTTAACTGGTTGAATGCCTCAAACCTGTGCTCTTCGTTTTACCTAGCTATAGACAAACTAGTAGATTCAGTGGCCCTCACTCAGCAAACCTACCCGCCGTCCTCTCTCACATGCGCTTCGGCCGGTGAGTGTAGTTTGAGCAGCAGCAGTAGCAGCAGAGGGTCTGAGCCCGGCAGAAACCGACGGACCGATCGACCGACGGACCAAAGCAGCAGTTAGTTAGCGAACGAATTAGAAACCTCGGTGGTAGTCTACCCAGGCCACATGAGCACGGCCTTCCAGCTCGAACAGCCGCAGTCCACTAGCTTATTCGATCTACAGCAGTATTGGCGGTAGCAGCAGTACTAGCAGTAATAAACCAAGGAAACAGATCGCGTGCGTCGTGCACGTTTACCCTAGCCGACCTGATAACAACCAGAGTAATTTTTTTTGTCGTACGTAGCAAATCAGATAATTGAACTACTGATCGTGCTGAACGAACGATTGTGGTGCCAGACAAGTCATGCTGCAAACAATAACTAGTGGAAAAAGGTGAAGCTACGAAGTAAACGAGAGTAGGTACCAAATTTCTTCATTGAAGAAGCATAAAAGGACTCGTGTCCGTGTTGCATCGTTAGTGAGCATTGTAACAAGCGCTGAGAAAGTCGAGTCAAGTTCTTCTTGATTGGAAATCCTTACATTATAGACTATGTAAATACGTGTGGCTTCCGTGGTGGATGGAACCTTGACACATAGGTGAGTCAGAAAAATAGTTCAGCCTTATTTGTCACTTCGTAGATATATGTGTAATAGTTGACTGTATTTTAATTTCAACAATGTCACTGCCTTGCTTCAATATTACTTCAGTCTGCTATTATCAGAAGCGTCGTCGCGTCTCTCTGCGCTACTGCCTCATTTGTAGATAGACAATGTAACTAGCGGTAGAACGGCGCTTCGTATACTACTAGAGTCAACGCCATTGCATTTATTGCTAACTGGATATAAATGATGAATAAACGAAGAATATATACATATATAAAGAGAAAGTATGTCTGTAGTATAGAAGCGGTAATAGCGGCAAAAAGTTTGGTTCTAACGATACGAGCGGCTGAACGGTAACGTTAAGTTTTAGTAATGCATCTATGTTGGATGGGGCCAGTTCTCCGCGGGTGCTATCAAACGATATTCAACATGTATAAACGTATGAGGCTATGGTATGACGAAGCCACGCTTAAGAACAAAACTACAGCGCAGTGGATTAATAAACAACACCTCAAACTTTATACACAGCTCCATATGAATCCGTCTGGTTTGTTACAAAAGATATTCGAACACGGCGCTGCAGTCCATATATTGTACAGTCAGCTATGATGGCCAAGCGGCATCAAATCCACAAGCTGGACAGGTATTTTTTTTATTTGCCTGAAAGAACCTACTCTTCTTTTGATGTCCATTCCATTGTAAGCGGACGGACGGGTTTGTTAGATTCGTTCAAGTTGAAACTTTTGATGGCTGACCGAGAGGCTGAATGATGTTGAGTGCGTCAGGCCAATGTCGTTTTGATAGCCGTTCATAAAGCAGTGAGTTGGTGCTGCACTGCGGAGGGTCGAGTACACACAGGCTTCCGTAGTCATTAATGGGCATGTTTTAATAATGTCAAGAATACGGCCGCGTTACCGTCATTGTGCGTATAATATAGAGTTAGTTGCTTTTCTTAGTGGATTTGTCCTCGATCAACTTAAAAAGCGGTGAATGTTTGAAAATGGCTATGCAAAAAGGCAGTTGGGTTACTCACGAATTGATTCGGGTCTTGTAGAAGTGAACGATCGGTACTTTTTGCTGCAACCATATTCACATATTGGTATATACTATAAGGTTCCGAATCTGGAAAATATAGGGCTAAAGCTATTGTTCGTTGGCATTTTCGATAGAAGCCGCGTCTCGAGCATGTCAGTAAGGTCGTGCGTTTTGCGAGCAGAGCGTCCTGTCACACCCCACGTCCATACGCGTTCCAGGCGTTTGAAGCACTATTGGTTCTCATCGAAATGTTGCTTATCCTCTTAACCAGCGTCTTTATATAATGTATCAAACAAATGTATAAATAAAAAAGTTTATCTGCATGTGTTCGAACTGTTGCAATAGCTGAAGTACCTGAAGGTAGACTACACGTTTCTTACCAAGATGGTACCGGGAAGTATTCCTCGGTTAGTGCACAATTGGCTGTTTGCGAACATGAGCGTGTTCTGGAATAAGCACCTATTCTTGCCGGAGAGCCTAGCTTTGAACCCGTTGAATTACGATGTATAGAGCGTTATTGAACGAAGGCCCAATAGATTTTGGCATGACAGGGTCGACCTGCTTAGTCGTACTGTCAAAAAGGGCACTCGCAAAAATGAAAACAGGACTCTTAATAAGGCCTGTGAACGGTTTAATTAAAGCTGTAATCACGATGGGTGATAATTACATTGAACAGGCAGAAGTTAAATTATCCGCGTCTTTTTATGTATATGCAGTTCTAATAACGATTTTCAAATTACGTTTTTATAAAAATTCAGTTTAGATACCCTATCCTGTACTCATAAGCTATGCAAAGCACGAGGATTTACGGTTTGTGATTATGCGACCATACAGTTTGGAACTGAGTGAGTCGTTTATGAGAGTTTACTATCGAAATGGGAAATCAACTAAGCTGACGCTCCTCAAGTGTCTTATGTTTCTTATAAACCGAAACTTGGTCTCAATAAAAGGCGGCAACTTGCCACACCGCTCGGGAAACAATCAATCTGCCCTGAGGCTAGCTGACTTCTCTGTGCGGTGGTCATTTTATGCAGTGACCACTTCCGCTCTGTGATTTAACTCTTTTCGATTTTCGCTTATAGGGCTATACGAAGACCAATCAATGTGTATGGAACGGTGACGAGCACAATTCACGATCTAAAATATTGAAGTACTTGAAAAGTATTTTGTGAGGTATACTACTAAACTACACAGCACCGTTGGTCAGGTCGATATGAGACAGATAAAGTTATGCAAGATGTGCCTGGGCGAACGTTTGGCTGATACCGTCCTTTATTCAGGCAAACGAAAGTTTCTAGGCGAGGTTAAAATAGAACTAAGGATCCGCATAAAAGCTCCTTTAGCTGTATAACGCTTCCTTGCAATTCTGTAAAACAGTCGTTGACGAGCAAATTTTGGCGACCCGTAGATTTAATTCTATAGCGATACACAGCGAAATATACATTACCACAACCTGTTCTGTGGATTTTTGATAAAAGATATGTGGCGTCAACACTGGAGTGTTGTACTACCGTTTTAGATGTTTTGTATTTGTTTGAAAAATAATAGTGCAGTAGCGCATGCGCAAATATCACCATAGCTAATAGATTTATTGTTAAGATTTCTCAAATATTCAACGGTATTTATCTAGTTAGAATTGTTACACTGTCCACGTCATGGAAGATACAAGTATGATAGTGAGCGAGATGTTCGTGAGTTCTGAAGCTTTGAATGTACTACCTACTTCAATTGCACCTTGCTACTTAAAGCTGGTCACGTACTTCAAGGTCGGGCTATCTATATCGAACGTGTTAGTAGCAGCAGAGCGGTCTTCGCGGCGGAACTTCATGGCCGCCGACTTACTTCAATAATGCAAACAGAGGGTAAAAGTCAAAGGTCTTCGTGCTATATGACTTAGGCATAAAAAAGATTCTTCATCTTCAGCTAGTGCTCAAATTCCTAATAAGAACTAAGTGAAAACCCAGTGGTATTTCGGAGAATTTCGCTGTAGTTCAGATATTCAAATTGAATATCTATATCGGTAATGGCTTACATACATACGTCGTTGCTCTGTATGTCTCATATATATATATATAAATAAGCTTGATTTTTGTGCAAGTTACGTAGGTTCCAAGTTAGATTCGGCACCTGAACGCTAGGCACATGTTTGTTCTATTACTACTTAGGACCAGTTTTAGAAAATACAAGGCGGCTTATGGCAATCTGTGCACGTAAATGCAACGTAGTTGAAATGCACGCATTCTTCGTTGTCGCCTTGTTTAACGAAATAGTAGTTTGGCTGGGCAACAGTTACCTTAGCTTCTCAGCGTCTTCGAGTGAATTAACAACTCAAATTGTCAACAATGTTACCATTAAGCAAGAACAATTGTACGCGTTATGCGGCTCTACTTACTCGTATCCGGTTCTAGTCGTGACTTGAAGTCACATAATAGAGAAAATGTCGACAGCTACAAGATATATCGCAACTTGGCGTTTAATCCCGATAGATTCCCGTCTGCTATGTATGGAAGACAGCGAACTTGTTTACATATTTCGTGAGGCCCGAGACGGTCTTGGTCCCAATTCAGTTTCCTGACGGTGGTCTTCCTGACGGTGTATTTTGATGTGTCGATCAGGCATGAACGAAGGCTTCCTTGAACGCGAGTCACTGTTACCATAAACAGTTTTATCGACCGGCCAATTTATGAAATGATGCTTCCTTTACCGATGTTGCGAACTTTATTACTTTCCCTAAATCGACTACTTCGACCAGAATCCGGTTAATGACAGGGCTAAAGGCATCGGTATTGGCGTCATTAACACCCAATGTAAGGTGATTTGAAAGTAATGTCATTATACGAACCGGGACCTGTTGATCCGAGAAAATTTGTGTAGAATTGAGATGACGCACGTTCAGAAAAGCACGACTTCGTTCATAGAACCACCGCGCGCCACTTCATTGCAAAGCGTAATGTCAAATGACGTAAAACAGTTAGTTCGTATTTGGGAATCTTGTTTCTGATTCTGTTCGTTTCCCGCGCAGGTCTTACGACGAAGCAGTACTAACAGTGAATGGGTTTACAACAGAAAAGCCGGTTACGCATATTTCGATGCGCGGGTAGCAAACGTACGATAAGATCCACCCATACTTGTCCGCCCAGGCCCAGAATCACATCATAGGCATTAGGGTCTCGTTTAAGAGAAACCTACGATAGTTAATGGCAAAGCGCAAACCATACGATCGGTACGGTAGTTAGTAGTGGTACGGTAGTTGCATATGTATGCTGCATACTAAGTAACCAAATTGCCAGTTTGCTTTCAAAGTAGTAATGTTTCGAGCCTTACCCTTAACCGGGGATCCAATAGCTCTTAATGATTGTACGTAAATAGACGTCATCTATGTACCGCTCTTCGACTCGTTAGAATAGTGTCTCGTTGACGTTTCTTGCGATTTGCAGTAAAATATCTTGCGTATGCTGGTTTGAAGACTGCGAACTTTTTTTCGAACGTGCAACTTCTAACAGCAGGAACCGATTCGGCCTGGCAGAAGTGAATATAGCGGTCAGAAGTTAGTAGAAAAAACAGACGTATTCTATTACAAACACAAACAGCTATACCCCCTACTTCGAAAGGTGCACGCTTCAGACGAATAAGCTGTGCAGGCACGTTCTGTATAGCTTATGTGGATATAAACGAGTGCAGGACATTTCGAAATATGATATTTGCGTTTCGGTAAATCTCGCTATTATAACCGTAAAAGGTTCTACTTAAGCAGACGTCGTCTTCCCTGACGGAGAAGCACACACGACCTCTATTCCTCCAAATCACTGTAATCACCAGACCACGAGCAAGCACACGGAATATGTTTTTACACTTCTTAAACTAGAGAATGCAAATGTGCTCTGCTTTCGTCAGTTATTTCTATTTCGTAAACCTTAATTAGGCTAGGAACGGAGCATTGTATCGTCGGGTGCAAAACAAGTAGGTACATCGAAATGATAAAGTATCACCCTTAAGAAGCTACAAATAATAACGCTAACAAGATTTTCATAGATCTGCATCACTTACAGTATGCTTTTACTATCAGCCGAATGATTGCTTTTGTGATAAAACTCAGTTTCTGTAACAAACGCTGCGGTTGCCTTTGACATTTTGCTAATGAGCGTTCTCGTCGGCAATCGATCGACCAGGCAATTTCCTGATGATACAGATAGGCTTTCTCCTTAACGATATACATCTGCTTAGCAAAGACGTAATAACAGCGGGCTCGTTTGTTTAGCTTTGGAACAACGTGAGACACTGTCTTTCAGACTCAGCTTCTCATTGTCACACTAGTATATAGCCCGAGTCGAATTGTTATAGGAACACAGACAACCCATTTAAAGACAACGATCAAGTTTTTTTCTAGATTTATATATATTTTTAGATTAGCTCAATCATGCAATTCATTCACCTCTACCTACTCACTGAAAAATACTACTGGCTATTTTTGAGGATCTCTTTGTAAGTTTAAATTGCACCAAATCAAATATCTTACTGCGTTTGCCCATAGTCATATTACAAAACACTACTTGCACGTTACTGTTAGGATACCTTCGCGTCAATCTACACAAAATGCTGGCCCCGTTTTTGAAAGCTTGATAATGCTGATTGTATGATTTTTACACTCGGTACTTACTCACGTTTTAGAGTTTAATGTCTAAACAAGGCTAATTTTGGTCAAACAAGGGTAGGTACGTGTTGGTATGAAGCTCTTCTCGTGCATCGTCTACGGCCTGACAACAGCAGGGCAAATCGTTACCAGTTTCATTCAAAAAATCGATGGAATACAAAGCTTCGCCCGCATCACATACATTTCAATATTTTAATATAGGCTCTGCGGTAGTGCCGTCCTTCAGTTTCTTGTATGATACATTTGTTTATCTATTGAATAATATCGAGTTATTTTGTAAAAGCAAAGTAGCCAGGTTTAACAAAGGCGCTGCTTTCTCTTTTTGACATTTCGTTGATTTCCATAATAATAATAATCGGTCATACTGTTAATAAAACTAAGATAAAAAGCCCATCTGAGCTTAAGTTCGAATAAAGGTATATACCCGGCTGGTGTATATTACGGCAGAACACATTTTAATGATTTCTAATAAATAATACATACGTGCTCCGCTGTTCCCTAATTTCGCAGATGGACTTGACGTTGACTTTGTCTAACTGACTGAACAAGAACACAGGATTGTCGCGTAGGAAGGAGGCTTCTTACACAGCCCCTGCAGCCGTCAGAGAACACTGCTATGGCGTGCTGCAGAGCTGTACCCACCGCCAAGAACTGCCACTTCCCTGCCGAAAAGAGGGAGATGATGGCACGTCGAACTGCTTATTCCAACAGTCCCAGGTATGAATCGATTACGCAAAAGTATAAAAGGTGTCCCAAGGTCCAAATATAAACCTGAACCTGCACAAGAATTGATGGATAGATAATTACACTATACATGTGTATCGTGTCGAAATCAACACCAACAGAGATGTTCTTGTTTGTTGATGGCCTGAGAGAGTAGACTGGCCTGTTTTGCAGAATGGTATTATTTTATATCAACACGTTCTTTGGAACGGTAAGAAATTTCGGCTTTCATAGATGTTATCGCATAAAAGAAGAAGTTTCATTACACACGTTCTACCGATTACGCATAGGATACACAGGTGATCGTGGTGACACAGTTGCAAGAAGCTTAGCTTCGTTTTTGTTGTATTTTTGGTTTGGCTGGACACGTTTATAAATTACGTGTAAAAAACAGAGTATCGATCTTATTTCTACCACGGGCACAGTCAGCACACTATTTGAGCTTAATATTCGTTCTATACTCACCTATCCTTTACTGATACTGCGTTCTGATCCCTAGACATAGTTGCGCCCTACGAGTTGTTGTTGAAATAAAAAAAAAAAAGTGTTGAAGCTAGCTATCTATCATACCCAATTGTGGGATCGTTGAAGCGTATCTATAAGAGAACACACCAAAAATTTAAAGGCTAACTTTGCATAGCATTTCTCGATTCTTGCTCTAAAATCCTAATAGTGGCTTCCCGTTAGCAACGGGTTTCCCAGTCAGATGACGGATTAGCAACAGATGCTACATTTGGATTTGTAAGAGACTGTTTATCTTGCACACTATACATATATATTTTTACCATATATTCCTGCGTTTCACCCTTCTAACGATTTCCGTTAGAACTCGCCTGAATGTTCCTCGTCACCTACTATTCCTGGAAATAGCAACAGATTAGGACCAAGGTATACTCTATGACATGTCCATTTCGAACCAACTGAAATAACAGTTATAGAGGCAAATCAATGTGTCTGTTTTACCGGCGTATTTACCACATGCGTATCTAAGAACGTACGGTTCTTCGGTCTGAGGTTTGTTTGATTTCGGCATGCTAGTTTAAAGGAAAAGCCATATTTCGATTGTGTATATCCATTGATTCCTTTATCTCGACTGTTTCCGATGGCGCCTGTCAGCATGCGCTTCCTGCTTATTTCACTAGTTCCTTTGCGTAAGTTTGTAAGGCCGGCATGATTTATATTCAGCCACCCATCAGTTCAGTATATCAATATTAAGCATAAAACTCACTCATTCTATATTGTGACGCGCCAGTATCTACAGCGCACTACATCAGAATGAAGACACGTTTGTGATAACTGGTACCGGAACAAAACCAACTCTTTCGAAAAAAACAAGATCATAAAATTGTCTTTAGCCTTGTGTTTAGAATATTAACGAATATCAGTTATGGTCCGATGTTGTTGCGGGTTGAAAATTAAGAACTCGTTTGGCTACCGAGAACCTTTTTGGATCCTTTCTGTTTGAGGTTTTCAACAACCAAGTTACCTCGTATTCAGTCAAAAATTTCATGAGCCTCTAAACAACGTTGAGCATTGTTACTGTTGAAAAAGTAGGGCAGGTTCTTTTTGATGACTGGTTTAGGCCCCTAAGTATAGCTGTGATCGAAAGCAATTAATAAATGCGTCCAGCAAAGATGTTCTTTTCGGCCTATGAAAAACAGATTTGTTTGGTTCAAAGAGAGAAACTATATCCACGGATGTATACTGAGTGAAACCAAAGATGGTTAACTGCGCGCTTTGACACAGTCAGTTGATTTCAAAAGACTTTACAACGAGCTGCAAAGAGACTGACTAGCTCGATTAGCTCAGCCCTTTTCTAGCTGTGATATTAGTCAGCGAAGAAATCAGTGTGAGCGAGCAGATCGTGAAGCAAGGAAATGAAAAATATGGCTAAAAAAGTGTTTTTTATCAGCAATATTCCGATGCTAGTAAGCAAATCGATAACAAACAATTGTTACAGGTGATGCTATCCACATAATCCCAATACGTTTGCATTGTGCTCGAAGTTTTCTCTAACCTAAAGTCTAGCTGACCGATTTTGTAAGCGAAGGAGGCTTGCAAACGAAGCGAAGCGGTCACTGTCTCAAAACAAGATATGGACATCGGAAATGCTAATCTGGGCAACGATAAAGTAGGATTCAAGTTATGCTTGCCTTAGTCGCTTGTTCTCTCTAAAGGTTACGTGCTTTGAAAGGGCACGTTACGTCAAGCGTCGGTGCTGTTCGAAAGCGCGATTTGAGGGTTCAGAGAATTAGATATTTTATATTGTCCGGTCCGAAAATAAGATACTACATTCTTTGAGTATATCTTATGCTTTGAAAGAATTCTCACAATTTTCCAAAGGTTACCTTACGAAGCCTCCATAACCGAAACCTTTTTGATTTTGCACGTTATAGTTGTCATTCTGAACGAGCTGCGCACTTTGGGTTAGGAGAGTTCGACTGGGCAGCTGTCTTCGTGCAAATGGCCCCGGTACGACGCTGTGCAAAAAAGATCAAAAGCAGTCAAGAACCAGGTACTCATAAGAAGTTCACTGGAAAGCCCGGTAATTGGTTTTCCAGCGAAACTTACCTAGGAAATCCATTAAGTGGCCACAAGATGTCGAGGGAAAAAACTTTGTTCTTGCCCCTAGGGGAACTCCTCGAAAATGTATAACACTGCAACCATGCGCATCACTTATGGCATTTGTGGACTCAGCATAACCCCAGCATCCAGCGCAAGGATAATCATCACCAAGGAGTCTTCAAGTATCTAATGGGCTGGTTGTCCGTTAACGCGTTTGTTGTTCAGTAGGGTCTCATCTGCGTCGGTTTTAGCTGCATTAGCACGAGTCTGTTGATTTGCATACCCGTAGATTAAAGCGCTAGCCGTCTGAAGCTCGTTTCTGTTGTCCCATTGCTCAGGACAGTGGCAGTTATCCAGCATGGAAGATCTGTCTGACGGAATGCTTAACAGCGATACCGGATGTAAAACTCGAAGCATAGGGGGCTCAGTTGCAAGCCTTACATTCAAGTCGTCCAGATCTTCAAAGCTAACTGATTGAATTCGTTGTAGTTTTTTTCATTCGGCCCTGTACTTGTTCCTAAACCTCTCGCCCTAAAAAGGCCTCCGAAGAAGCCTTGCAAATGTTATTGTTACTTTTGATTTTAGAACGCCACCTTCATAAAGCTGTCACGCTTCTTATCTTGGTTTTTCATTCTATGTGGTACGCCCGAAAAACCTAGGCAATGGTGTTCTCAACATTGCCGGTTGACCTATTCAAGATAAGCAAAATTCGCTAAAAGCGGGCGGCGTATGCGTAGGTAGGCAAGCCACTGAACCTAACGCAGAGCTCTATTGTACGCCCACCTAAAACCAACCCTAACTGTATACGTACACGACAGCGAACTCGTTGTAGGTGGCTACCATAGGTGGCGTTCATAAACTAGGTGATGAGAAGCCACCGGATATCTAGAACCGATATACAGTGATGCTGCTATCGTGGATATTACCGCGCTGTATAGTGCGTCGTGAGTAGAACGTACAGTGGGTCTTTTCAGCAAAAACATTTCGTTCCAGCAAATTCGATGTGTGATGGTGATATAGGCTCTTCATCACTCTGACGACTTTGACAGGGCCCCTATCCCACCACGGAGAAACGCAACAGAAGCAAAAATAGATTTCTAATTACATAAATAGTATCGCCTGCCTTCGGAACACGCTGGGTATCGCTCAACTAGCTTAACATGCAAGGCAGTATATTAATTCGGTCTAGAAATGCAAGAGAAGGGCGGTCACAGGGTAACCTAATTTCAATTTGTTCAGTGAATTTTTGACAAAAAATAGGAGAGCTACTTATAGAGTGAACTCTACGTTTCGTGCTATTATAAATAGAAGTTTTCCAAAATATAAGAGCATACGCTAAAATAGTATCCTGGTGAAATTTATGTGGAAAAAGTAATTCCAAAAAATAAAAATAACAATAGAGCATAGCATGTCCTTATGAAGCGAACTTCTGGTAGATAGAACCAGCTAGAAGTCTGGTCTGTGGATATCGCGTAGGACACCGTCCCGTTTCCAAAAAATCGAACCTTCTATCTGTATCTCTACCTTTAGGCACATTAGACGTATATAGTGATAGCACGAGATATTTTCATGTTTCCATAGAAATAATTTAAATGAAGCTAACAACCATCGTGTTTCCAGCCGAAATCTACATCAACAATGTCTTTCGAGTAGACATTTTGGCCTCGGCATAGCGTGGACGAATATGGAACAATAGGCGGTATAACGCTGTTCACTTGAAACCAGATAATCTCCAGTTTGAGCTTCGTTCGGTATATATCGAATAGTGCGTTTCTGTGCTTGGAAATTCGTTGATAAATGCTAAATAATATATATATTTTTTTAAACTTATATCGACAGCTTTGTCTAGTCCTAAATTTTGTATTTCTATTGTATAATATGTAACATTACGCTGAGAGAAAATTTAGCTATAACGCCTGTAAACCTAATTCGAGCGACACAAAGCGCTTCTAAGAATTGGCTTATTATAAAATGTTTTTTAAAATCCCACTGATAACGTAGTACAAAGGGGAAACTGGGACATGAAACCTGCAAACGAGCATTATCTGGAGTTATACTAATCATGATCGTTTTGAAATATTAACATATACTGAGCTTCAAATACCGACCAGCAGGGTTTATCTATACCACAGCGGCCCATACCGTGTAATACGGGTTTTTCTAGATTGCGCTAAAAAATCTTACGATATTGAACAGTTTGACAAAGACGCTACATTTGTTCTGGCGGTGTTCAATGCCATAAAATTTATAGGACTGATGCGATGGTCCTTAAGCATCTGAGGTCGACTAATGAAGTACCAAACAAGCCATGAAAAACTTCCAGTTACTAGGACCCTTTCTTGGGTACATCACTTATTATAATATACTCGGCTAATTTTATTGTATTCGTATTTGTATTTCGTCGAATTTAATAGAACTGGGCACAATTACTCATTTACTATTGGACAGAGCTCAGCTAACGAACGCCTTGATTGCAGTGGAATACATCAGGTCTCTACGACGACACGAGACGAATAGTATTTAAGCGTATGATGAGAGCCTAACTCCAACGAGGATCTATTATAATGTTTTTTCGGCTATTTGCAAGCCAGGTAGACAAACATCTCGCTATTCAGGATAGGATAGAGATGATCGCATCGTCGATGAATGGATTTTAGTTCATCCGTACCTATCTCTTCGTATAACAGAACGAAATAATCGTCGGGAATAAATGGCACCTCCATGGCGATACGTACGGGATCAAAGCTGGCAATTTTACCGACATTTACAAGCGACCTTGGAAAAAGTCGCTTGTAAATGTCGGTAAAGAAGGCGCTCACATGTGGAATACCCAAACGTAAATCAGGTCACTTCAAACTATACTACATAATTAGTTGGTTAACCCTTCATTTTTCTATGTCTACCGTTTCAGACAAGCCGCTAATTATTCAAGATTTCTTATGTTTCAATCAGTGTCAGTATACATCCAGGCCCCAGTCGTCCTCTGTGGTCCACCAGCCATCCTCGACGGAGTCGAAACTAGACAAAATCTTGCAAAAATCTTCTGTCATTGGAGAATGACATACACTTTGTATACTTAGATAGGTCATGTTTGTGCGTCATCTTTCTCGATATGGAGGCATTTTTCTTTAGCGGAAATAGTAGATTTTTTTTTCCCGATAAGACAGAAACACGATTGATAACAAAATTTCTTGCGAATAGCCAGTGGGCTGAAGGGTGGAATTCAGTTCCCCACGCTCAACGCCGCATGAGGTCGCATCTGCCCTGCATAGGTCGAATGAAGTACTGTTGTGAGTTGTTTGCTCCTTGCGCCTATTACAGGCATCTGTGTGTAATTAATAGCTGATGGCTTGCCGTTATCGTTGCTGAAGAATAAAGGATTGTATCGTTTATTCTGCTAGACTACAATTTCTCCGTTGTTATCTACGTGCGACACATTCACCTCGCGTGATTTCGTTTGCACCTTTAAGTTCGCATTTTCTTATTTAATCCAGTGAACCCGGCATACCCGGACGCATTCTACATACATACATCCATCCATCGATAAACGCACAGATGATGGATTAGTTTCCTAATTATGTCACATATTTTTGTGTTTTTCTGCTTAGCCAGCTGAAGCAGATGCTCAAACAGTTTCATGTGAGTTTTTCTCGAAAAAGCTGTTGTTTTCGAGTGACTGACACGGAACGCCTTAGTCTCGTTAAGACTCAAAGTATCAAGCAACTCAGAAGATCGATTGTAAATACTGCCTGTTACTCGTACACAAACTAAACATCGTAACTCAATTGCCACGTTGTAAAACATCATCTGCGAGGGTTTTTTAAAATTGTTCTTCAATTATCTGCTCAGTTGCAGCTGCAGCTCGTCGTCCTCATCGTCGGGTGACAACGACGGGGCTCGAGGAGGTAGCCAGGACGTTACTTTCACATTAGCCGTATGCCAAAACAGCACCAGCCCCATCGGTCAGGATGGAAATCAGATGCCGATACCGCCGCTAAACGACGGTGTTAGTTACAGTTTTAGATTCAGCGATCTCAATGTCATCAAAACCATCGGTGAGCTTCCAAAGGATAAATAATAAGATATTTTTCTTATATAATTGTACCTGTCTTGTAGCATACGTCGTTGGCGGGATTCGAACCAATAACGCCTGGCTTCAATCGCCAGGAACTGAAACGTAAAAAGCATGTCAGCTATCCTTATTTACTACGATGTTATTAGTCTGCTGCACATTGGCAGTGCGTTTCCACTAAATAACGGTTAGAAAGGTAGCCTAAGAAAAGCTAGATTATTGTGACATTTTATAAAAAAATGTTTTTGTCAAAATGTGGTATTAACTAAATATTTCGAGTTCTACATCCAGTATCGCCGTTAAGCATGGCTTGAGGCGGCTAAACGCCAATGCGCCTACTTTCGTACCTGGACCCCTTCATCCGCCTAGAAGTTTACTAGGAGGATATGCTACCAAGACACCGTCATTAGAACAAAATATACTAGCATTCATATGTAAATCAATTAGCGAATGCCAGCTCCAATTTTCTCCACAATGCTTCGCCCTCTCAGCACAGTATACGGGCACCTATGAAATTTCGGGCCGAACTTGCACGGTATTATAGACCTTACTTAAAAACTAGCATGGATTTCTCATTCAGAACATGCTCAACAAGTATATATATGCATATGGTTAGTACCTACATTCGATTACAGTCTACCGTCTGCCTAAAACGTCAACTGCGTGAAAAATTATTGCAGGAATCATGCACTAATTAATGGACGATTTGTCCTGCTAAAGTAGCTGTTCTTCACACGTTGCATATAGATCCCAGACAATCCCGTAACACACTTTAAAGAAAAACGTATTATAGCCATCTATGCAACCTAGGACAAATTTTTCTCGATGGCAGCCGGAAAAAGACTTATCGTTTTGGAAACTACCATAGTTAATCTTCATGCGCATATCAACTGCCGATTTTAAGGCTAGGATTTCGGGCTTCAATGGCTCTTTTCCAAACAGTTTGCGCGACCTAACAATATTACTTGGGTTAAAAATATTTCGTGTGTGGCATACCATAAAATAAAGGTTCTATCCTCCAGAGGTTGTAGTAGTAGTTCCCGGTACGTATTTTACTTTGCATCCTATTCTTTTTCTTTCAGCTAAGATCAGCTACGATAACAGCCAGCTTCACTATGGTTTATGGGTACAAAGTGATACTTATTCACAATGAGACTCAAACCTGTTCGCAATGTAAATAAAAATAGTTCAAGTTGTTACGCTTCATGATTCTTGGTCACTGGAATCAAAGTTGAAAGATCTTTGCGGACAACGCGCGTCCTGAGCGTCATCCTCTTCGCTTCCTCCGTCCATTAAGACCGCTTTCGGACTAAAGTTTTCCGCTGATGGATTTATGAATCTGCACTGCCGTCACCTATTTTTTTTGCCCCATTTAACAATGAGACATAAACAGGACTACAGAACGATGCGATACACGAATAGGCGTTGTTATTCAATTGATTTTTGTCAGTATGTTCTGACTACGTAAGTTTATGTACTAGCCGACCTCGGTAGATCATGTGAGATTGCAGGGGTCCAAAAAAATGGTCCAGATCACCGCTCGTTGTATTGCTCACTATTAACGCTTGACTTACGTACGTAGATGAAGTTTTGTCTTAGGACACAGCAGCATAGAGAATCATGGGTTTGAGAGACAATGTACAAAAAGGCGGAGCAGTATATTTAGAAAGCGTTTTCATTAATAAGAAAGCGTCAACATATAATAACATTAAGGTCACTGTACTGACTTGTCCGGTAGAAGCCGTGTTCAAAGGTCAATTTAAAACAATTCATTGTTTTGCTGGTAAGAAGAAGAGCGCACGATCTGAATAGGTGAGGGCATATATATATATATTCGGCATATATTCGTAAAGTCAGACATCTAAAGATTTATACAATATCAATTTCTCTTGTTAATATTATTTAACGCCACAAACACCTTCTGTAGGACTTACGTGGAAGCACGTGTAGCACGTGCCCTATTCCAATCGAAATCTGCCGTCCCTAGCTGTATAGTGCTGCTAATTCGAAGATGTTTTATTTTATTAATATTCATTTTGTGGGTATTCGAAGGATTAAGACCAGCGACACTTAGCTTGCCTGTTAGATTCGAAAATAGGCAAACGAAAGCTCTTCGTGCAGGCTTAAACATATGTATACAATATTTGTTTATGAGTGATCCTATTTTAGTCAGACAAGGTACTGTGGCCATCCACGTCTCTGTTGCTTTCTTTTGGTAGGATACCGAGTTTTAGGTTTAGCTATTGTTTAGATGATTTCGCTTGAGTTTAATTCGGCACCTGATTCGAGCTTATCTGTTAAACTCAGATTCGTGTTAGGGGAGTTCAGGGAAGCAGACTTGAAGGAAACGACGCGCGAACCTCACAAAGCGCTAACTCGACTACAGAATTACATTTGTTTGCTACATCTAACTGTTCGTGAATGGTTACCTTAAATATTTGTCTAAACATGGACCAGCTGCTGGTGTTAGTTAGTTCAAGAAGTCTGCTGAGGCCCACAATATCTTTTCGGCGTTCGTCGGCAAGAATGATGATTTATTTTCCTAATTTCTTTAACCACAGCGTTGCGATTTACGAAAAAAAAGTGTATAGTATCCGTTCGAATATACAGAGAGGATATTTGTGGCACTGAAACCTGTTAAAGAATTTTTACGCTGGGAAGCTGACTAGGGAAGCAGCCTTAAGATTTGTCGCGGATATAAAGGGTCGGTCGGTTATACCATATTGTCTTTCCGAGGGCACGTCAGAGCCGCGTCAGTGGCTCTTCCTCTGTCGTGTGTTTTTCTCTCTCTCGCTCTCTAAGAGATCCGACGAGCTAGGTCAAATTTGTCAAAAGCTAGGTAAAAGAAAAGTTAGGTAGCCTATCCAAACCTTATCGATTTTATGAGTTAATATTAAAATGAACGTTTCTGTAAAACCGGACTACGGGTGTTAACACAGTGCATCAGTCCATGTATCAGCATAGCCATTGTTAAGTGTCAACCCTTCTTTTCCATTAAACAATAATAAAACGTTACTAGTTATATTTACTGAAGCTATCGCAGCTGGTAAAGTTAAGTGTACCGTTGGATCATCAGCAGCTGCGCGTCTAAATTTCCTTTGGTAGAGCTATTCTTTGTTATTAAGTATCGCCCCAGTCTAATATTATTATTTGTTTATGTGTGCAACCGTCACGTTCTATTTCCCATGTAGCATATGAATTTACTACACGTTATACGTCATCATTGGACACATCATTTAACTAGCTCGAATAATTGAAGGCTTTCAACTTGTTGAAATTTGACTACTTGAGTTATCATTTCGTACTACTGATTAGGCCTTCAGTATTCTTCCTATGTGGCCTTAGTAAAAACTTCGTTATAACGGAAATGGCGTTCCTGCCCGAAACCGGATTGCCAGCGACCTTGTGGAACGTCTTTGATTGGAAAGGGTGGCTGGCTAGCGTGTATGTTTGGCAGCGTCAACGGTCGTGAGACGAATAGTAGATTTCAATAAGTTTTCCAGACAAGCACACAACGTTTCATCCCATGCTAAAGGGAACATGTTTCTTCTAGTCATAAATGAAATACCGGCAAAAAATTGTTAGCTCTTCTATCGCCAGAGCGTGAACATTTGTTAGACACTTCCAGACTCGAAGATGAATGAACTGAGCAAAAGCCCTTGCCTTGTAGTGACGGCGAAGATTAGCGGGACCGCCATCGCCAACAAAGAAACCTGGCCCTTGAAGGTCTCACAACAACCTTCCTCGATACTTAACTATAAACGTGGCCCTGGCGTATCTATGATCTAAGACCGATAACTGTATTTGGACCAAGTGATGTACAGATCGCAAAATTAAATATCCCCCGAAAGATATTTTATGGGTGGTATCGATCGGTACAATAGGCAACAACATCAGAAATTCAAGGCCGACTAACAGATTCCTTTTGACTAATTTCAGCTGGGATTAAAGACGATTCCAGAGATACGGTCAGCAACACTAAACAGATAATCTTAGAATCTAGAGAAAAATAAACCATTTTTCCCTAGAAATAAACGCACTCGTGTAAAGTGGTCAGAGACGGGTACATGGATGTACATAAACACTTAATGCTTAACGATGTATAGAGCTCTTTTTAGATCTTTTTTATTATCATTGTCTCGCTAATTAACCACACGGCATATCACAACAGCTCTACGAAAGGTGGAGTTTTGTGGGAGGAGGAATCGCTGATCTCTCTCCCTCTCTCTTTATATATATATATGCCACAGGCGTTGTTTGTATGGTGTTTTATAGAGGCATCGATGTCCCCAAATTGGGCTTATTTTTTATGTGTATCTTAAACATTTACAAAGAATAAATGCAATCGACAAAGCCTTTGTTATCACGACTACGCAGAGCGATGACCGTTTGGCGTCTAAAGAGCGGGGGCAAAATTTTTTTTAGTTCGTTGAGAGTTCACATTGACCGTTACTTTTCAAGTACCAAAGGCGGTTAGGTTTCAATGCAAATTTTTTACTGGCCATAGGTCGACGCGAAACATTTCATATTATTTGTTCCCTTGTAAAAAGCGAGCTAATGCTATTTAGAGCTCTACATACCGTGAACACGAATTACGTTTGCTATAATACGCTTATGTAGTAATGTATGTATTCAAACTTTACTTTATTACCACCATTATTTGTTAGTCCGTTATCTATATATATCCCTAAAATTGTTCAGAACCCGCACACCTAACTTTGATTAAACGCTGTGAATTTTTTTTCGTGTGGGGATGAGAGTCTCTATTGTCTGAGGAGAGGTTGGAAATAGAAGTTCAAACGCTCGCGATACGTTGAGTTAGTTAGTACTTATCCGGCAATTCGAGTTACAACCCAAAGTTACATATAATTGACATGGTGAACTAATATGCTTAGAGTGGCCCATGGCTACGTACGTGCTGGCATCAAGTAAACCCGGAGACTGTAGGAGCTCGCAGCACTATAATCTGCCAAAATGTCGCCT